TTTTTTTTTTCCCCCATTACCAGGAATTGAACTCACAACCTTGCGCTTGCCAGGCAAGCACTGTGCCACTGAGCTAAATCCCCAGCCCCTGTGCTGTCTTTCTTCCAGTAAAGGAGTTTGACCCCTTTCTCAAACATAAGATGGCTGAGTATGTTTGAAGTTGTTTCTGCCTCTTCTCGTCTATTCCATTGATCCACTGTGCAGCTTTTTTTTGTTTGATTGTTCCCAGTACCATGCTGTTTTATCACAATACCTCTGTAGAATAATTTCAAATTAGAGATTGTGATACTCCCAGATTTGCCTTTGTTGCCCAGAATTATTTTTGGTATTCTAGGTCTCTTCTGGTTCCAAATGAATTTTAGAAATGTTTTCTCTAGTTCTGTGAAGTATGCTAATGGTATTTTGATTGAGATTGCATTAAATCAGTATAACAGTTTTGGAAGTATGGCTATTTCTATTGTGTTGGCTCTTCCTATGGGATATCGTTCCATTTTCTGACATACTCTTCAATCTCAGAGTGCTGTAGTTTTCAATATAGAACTCTTTTGCTTCCTTTCTTAGATTGATTACTGAGTGCCTCATTTTTTCGATACTATTGTGAAAGGTGTGGCTTCCTAATTTCCCTCTCAGTGAGTTTGTTATTTGTGTGCAGGAATGCTATTGATTTTTGAGTGTTTACTTTGTATTCAGCTGTGCTACTGAATTCGGTTATTAAATCTAGAAGTACATTTGTGGAGTTTTTGGAGTCCTCTGTGTTGAATAATGATAATTTGTGAATAATGTGAATATTATTATTCACACATGTGAATATTATTATTCACACCTGTGAATAATGATAATTCAACTTGTGAATAGTGATAATTTAATTTCTTCCTTTCCTATCCTTATTCCTTTTATCTCTTCCTGTTGCCTAATTTCACTTTCTAGTATTTCCTGAACTACATTCAATAAGTGGTGATAGTGGACATCCTTCTCTTGTACTGATTTTAGAGTGAAACCTTTCAGTTTTTGCCCATTTAGTATGATGTTGGCTACTGGTTTGTCATAGATGGCTTTTATCAGTTTAGATAAAGACCATCTATTCCAGTATTCTGTAGGATTATTTTGTAGGGATATTGGACTTCGTCAAACACTTTTTCTGCATCTGCTGAGATGATTATGCAGTTTTTCTTCATGCTTCTGTTAATATGGTATATTATGTTTATTGATTTGTGTGTATTGAACCATCCTCACATCCCTGGGATGAATCCTAATTGGTCATGTTGCATAATCTTGATGATTTTGTGCCTTCTGTTTGCCAGTATTTTATTGAGGATTTTTGCATCTATGTTCATTAGGGAGATTGGCCTGTAATTCTCTGTTTTGGTTGGGTCCTTCTCTGATTTTGGTATCAGGGTAATACTTGCTTCCAGAAATGACTTTGGGAGTATTGT